CGACGGGCAGGGGAAAGGGAGATACCCCAGCTGCCTGCTGCCCAGAGCCACGTCAGCGGCAGGAATCCCCCGGAGCTCGGAGAGGTACGGGTGTGAATGCCGCCTTAATGATTAATTCAAGTGCAGGAACAGCCTTGCGGCTCTCGGGCTGCAGAAGTTGGTTGTGCTACACCTAACCCCACCGCCTCCTCCCTGAGCACACAGGCGCACGCCCAGCTCCTGCAGAGCCAACACCCGCTCTATAGGGGCCATTGCAGGCACGCACGCACCTTGGCACAGATCGTAGCTTGCGTCGCTTTGTAATTTAATTTACTCAGCAGAGCTCAGCTGGAGTCCTTTACCCAATTTTACAGTTGGGCTGGCTGAGGAACAGAGGTCAAGTGGCTTTGCCCGAGGTTCGCGTGGCGAGCGACTCGGACCAGGCCCCGCCGCTCCTCCGTCCTGCACGGCTTCTCGTCAAACAAACTCGCTTCCTTCTGCCGGATCCGTTCGGAAACACGCCTGCCTTCCTCAACTGCTCTGTCCTGGGACAAGATCCCGTACAGGCCGGAGAGCGCATCTGCCCCTGCCAGAAGGGCTGGGCTTTAAGAGAGGACATTTAAGAAGCGCACAAGGAAAAAAAAGGGGAAGGGGATAAACCGATAACTCCCGAAGATTAAATGCTGAATACTCGGTTGTGACCCAGCCGTTAGAAGAGACGCTCTGAGCTGCAAGCCAGCTCGGCCGGGCAGTGCCTGCAAGACGTTGTCTGTTCGTGAAAGACAACCGCTGTTTGCACGAGCACGCTGAGGGTTTTGCGGTCAGTTTTCCTCGGGGCTGAAACACAACGATCTCAAAGAGCGACTGCAGTCGAAGGCGGCTGGAAGCATGCCGGGCAGCTCTGCCGCGAGACAGCGAGGGCAATCCGCGGCACGAGGCGCGCAGCGGCGGTCTCGGCAGTGAGAAACCTCAAACCCTGCCCCACGCCCGCCTCGGCACACGGCGCCGAGGTTGAACTTACCCGCACCACTCACAAAGGCTCGGGGTTGCTTTTTTTCCCCGATGTGCTACTTTCCCTGTCAGTGGAAAGCAAAATAGTCAAGAAATTAAGGACAATGAGGGTTCCCTAGCTCAGGTTACCCCATCATCTCCCGCCCAGGGGAGCAAATCCTCTCAAAATAGGAAGCCGAAGCAGCTACCGCTACCTCTGCTACTCCAACAGGGTGGATTTCAGAGACCGAGACAGGCATGGCCCCCGCATTAGAGTCTCCTTCCTCGCCCTCACCTACCTACAGACCACGGGTCTAATACAAGCACGTTGTCTAGCGAGAGAAGATGAAGGTGAAGACCTCTAGGAAGCCTCACGGGTTAAAGGGCGGCCCTGACAGGCAGAAGTTAAACCAGTCCAAGCCTTGCTACTTAAATAGCCTGTCTGAGTTGAGCAAACCTGCTTTTAAACTGGGTTTTCCTTTGGTAGAAAGCCAGCTGGAGAGGGAACTCGGCAAGAGGATTTAACTATCGGATCCTGCCTTGTGCCGTAGGATTTAAAAACACGCTAATTATTCTCGGGGTCATGAAAGGAGTTGGAAAAACAAAACCAACAACAAAAGGCGAAGGTACGATTTACACCTCAGCTGACCAGCAACTGCATCGCTTTTGGGCAAATGAAAGTGAATCTCTTTCTGTAGAGGCAAAAGGGGCTGCAGAGTCACCGCTTATCGACGGCGCAGCCCCGGCGTCCTGCCGGGCAGCTCCTTCCCTTGGCGTTTGTCAAAGGAGGCTCCCGGTGGCCCCGTTCCAGGCAGGCACTCGCCTCCCCGCTCACGGAACCGCACGTCCTGCTTCACCCGCTGCCGGCTCAGCTTATCGGAGCAATGCTGCAGGACCGGACTTGAGTCTTTAACCTTGCCGAATATGACGCAAGTGTTTTATAGGCGATAACATACGTCAAAGGGTGAGGAATTACTTATACGGAACCAGACACGTCAGCTAAAAGAATGACATTCTCCATACCAGGGAGAGGTCTTCACGGATGCTGTAACTGTACAGAGAGGCAGACAAAAAACTTAACAACAAAAACCCGCTGCACACAGCGATAATACTGAATCAGTAGACAAAGCCACTGACAAAGTAAGAAATAATCTCCATAAAACCAAACTTGAGTTAGGGCTACAAACCCCTCGGCTATCGACAAGGTAAATCCCCTTACAGCGCCACTTTTCCAGAAGGCGGGAGGTGCTGGGAGCTCCGCGCCCACCTTCGGCTCGGAGACCACAACCCTTAGCACGAAAAGGCAGGGCAGGGCCCACGGCCGCCGTTAACCCTACGCCCCCAGGCTGGTCCGGTCTCCTCAGGTCAGTTTAAAAGTCATCTATAAACGTTTTTGTCACTATTTTTAGCACACGCTGAATTTAAATACAGGGCAGCGTTCCACTTACTTCAGGAGAGCACTTCCTGGTGGCCAAGCTCAACGCAAGCACGAGCACAAGAAAAAGTCCACGCTGGACAACTAAATTTGCTAAACGGCTTCAGAACACGGCTCTCTGCGTCGCTGCCACGAAACGCTCTCGCCTCCGAGGCCACGTACAGGTTTCAGCCATAGACGGCTTTGGACACAGATCTGCACGTCTGCCAAATAGCTACTTTAATCCTTCGATGCGATAGCAGCATTTTAGTTACTCGTCAAACCTTACTCACTTCAGGCAAGGAGAACTCTCTGTGCAGTTTCTTATGAATCCTTCTTTACCAAAAGCAATCATATTTGTATAACCAAGAAGAACAATTTCTCAGTAATGGATTCAATCAGCCAAGACAGCGAGCGTATCTGATGTCAGGCCTTTCGGAATATCATCTTAAAGCACTTATCCAATCCAATAAAGATGTTCATTAAAAAAAAGACCCGATTACACTCGTTGGGAACATCGTGCACAGTATTAAAAGCTTGGCTTAAAACGGGGGAAGCAATGCTGCACAGGATGATCTTTGATGTGTACTTGTACCTTCAAAAGGATCCCTCTCTTCCATGTTGTATTCCACCCTAATTTGAAGATCTCAAACACGACTGTTTGTTTCTAAAAGACGCACGTTACCGCACCCTGAGCTCCCAACAGCTCTCCTTCCAGCACAGCCGACATTAGGACCCAACTGACGGTACGTTACCTGGCGAGTTCCCCCTATTATCTGTGTCTAAAATGGCTTTGTGGTGGTCAGGACAACCGGCTGTACAGACACGGAGCCACAGCTCAAAGCCCTGACGGATGCGCCAAAGCCTCGAACAGCCCGTTCCCGTCCCGCCGCACGCGGGGGACGCCAGCTCGAACGCAGGCCTTGCAAAGCTGCCCCCAAAGGCGGCTTCTGAAAGCTGCAGAGGATGGGACTTTAGACTCCAGTTTGTTCTTTACGACGTGCCGACCTCCCAGACGCTGAAGAACAGTGCTGGGGCGGAAGGGCAAACACAAGCAAGTCATTAACCGGACTGGAAAGCTGAAGTCTTATTCCAAATGTATTGGTCTTAAGCCTGAACGCCTGGATCCGTCCCTACATTTAACTTACCTACTCTGCAGTTCAGCAAAGACCTGCTTCATCTTCTTAATGGAAGCATCCATTTCCTCCTTCACCACAACCCGGTACCGAGCCAGCGAAACGGTGCAGCGCTGGAGATCCTTCACTGATTTTTCAATATTAGAACCTACCAAGAGACAGAGTGAACTCAAACGGCCATGTCAATCACGCTGCTAAGTCCTCCCAGCAGGGATAAATCTAAAGATGGCTTTCCCTCTTATTTTAAGACTATACACTGCTTGGTTTGACATTTTTCTTTTTTGAGAGATTGTCTTATTGGGGAAAGTTTTCCCCAGGCTGGCAGAATTTCCTGCTATGGGCAGGGACGTCCCTCCACATTTTCAAATACAGGAGAGAAATCAAATGCGTCTCTGAGCTGCTTTTGTGCTGGGGAGCGGAGACAAGCGAAACGCGGTCCGCTCCGAAGACCAACACACCCCAGCACTACACGATACGAAATGGCTGTTTGCCCGGGGAAGGGAATTATCTCAGAAACTGAAATTAAGGCTATTTCCCCAAATCAGGAGCTGAAAGTATTGGTTTTCGCTGCCGAGGTCAGTCCCTGTGTCTCGGCTCGCCAGCAGGGTACATCACCTTGCCCGCGCTCTCTGGAGCTCGCTGGAGTGCCGTTGCCCCCTGCCAAGCTACATTAACAACCGCTCGTTACGGCTTTCCCACGCAGCCAGGAGGTGAACCACCGCCACCTCATCTCCCTAAGCTAAGTACAATAACCGCGATCACAATCGAGGTCTCCGAGGTCGCTCCTGTCCCCACTTGTTATTGTAAGGGCTCAGCTGCGGAGAAAGCGCACGAAAGGGGGGGGGGGGGGGATCGCCGCGAAGGGGGCGCGGGGCCTCTTTTGC